GTAATTAGCGTTTTTAAATGGAAAATGTGTTGGACAAAGAAGTCCAAAATATTTTTAAAAGAAGAGAGGCAAAGAACGCCATTACTTTAACGCCCTTGTGTGGTAATGAAGTACATTACCACATTAGAGTGGTAAACATTTCATTACGAAACTGATTATAATAGCATAATGTTTCACTTTACCTATCCAAAGTGGATACAGATATTAACTAACATATTTTATTGCAATAGGATTACATTGCTTATTGGGTTAGCTGACTTAAGCTATTGTCATGACCTAATTACAAAATCTTCATTTAGCTTTTACTTTCTACGATTATTAGTGTATTATTATTATTATTATTATTATTATTATTATTATTTAGTATAATAATTATTATATAATGCGCATGTTAGCTATATTATCTTTTTAAAGTATGTAATTAACAGAACATTTCTGTTTTAACTAGTGCTAAAACAGGTCGTACTTTCTTGCCAGTACTTTGAAGCAAAACTGCGCAAAAAATTCTTAAATTTTCGAAAAATTGTAATTGACCTTATTTCAGAATCTATCTTTAAGAAACAGAGTTCATTAAGGGAAAAATATCTATCTTTAATATTTTAGTGAAAGGAAGACTCCGAAAAAAATTGAACCTTTGCAATTTTCGACAAATCGTTTTTTTAACGAAAACTAGTGGTGCTGAAACAGCACTTAGTTTCTCGCCTTTTTTAATATTTATGAAATAGTTTTTATACTAGTTATGTAAAATACTCAATTTGATTTTGAAGAAACTTTTTACTCTTTTGGATGGATCCGCAAACAAATTGTCAGTTCGCCTTCAGGAGACAGAGACGAGTCAAATGACTCATCATTTGTCTTGATAAAGTGGGTGTTGGATCGTGAGTGACGGACGAATACTATATAAGGAGTATTTTATAGGAATTTGATTAATTCTATATTTGATTAAATATAAGCGCCGATGTAATTTTCAACAGCCATTTGTACTAGTTTTAGTTCATAGTTCTCTAATACTACATGGGTTGTTTAGAGGAAGTACACTGTTGCAGCTCAGATAGTGTATATCAACATGTACCCCGCTGTCCCATCATTTTTTTAAAATTTATTTATTTATTTATTTATTTATTTATTTATTTATTTATTTATTTATTTATTTATGGTCGCTTTATAATGTCAAGGTCATCAGCGACCCCCGTTATTATACAATTGTATATATAATCGTAGGGGTTACAATTATTACAAGGACAAAAATGTTAAATTTAATCACGTTTTCACAATATGTACGGTTTAATCTAATTACAGTTATAGTACATTAAGCAGCTATATAAGGCTGTACAGTTTTGTAGTTGCTAAAACTTTTTTATTATTTTGACACACCCGTGTGAGGAACTGAGTAATGGTTGTAGGGATCCTTCAATTTTTAAAAGTTTTTTATATTATTAGTACCAGGGCATTCAAGAACAAGGTGGGAGGTGGAGACTGCTGTACCACACTTTGGACAGGGTTCTGTTTCTGATATCTTAAATAGATGGCAGAAATCGAGATTGAAATGGCCTATCCTTAGTCTAGTAATTACAACCTGTTCTCTCCTCTTAAAATGTTTTCCGGGGAGAGTTGAGTCAAGAATAAATTGTCTCACTAAATGGAGTTTGGAAAATCCAAGTTCGTGTTAAGATTCCCAAAAACTGAGTCAGGAGTCTTTTACAAACTTTTTAAAGTCCTGGAACGTGTCTTGATTTTTCTTTGTTTGTACTAAATGCCTTGAAGTTTTATGCACTGTTATAATGCCACGCAGTCTTGCAAAAAAACTGCGTCTTTAGACTACCTGTTAACTACATCATAGAACTATGCGCTACATAAGAGAACGCAAGCGGCTAATTTATTTGTTAGAACTTTTGTTATTTTTGTCATTTTACGGTGCAATCTGAGAGCTGAAAAATAGATAAAGCAAGGCACTCTATGTTTTGAATCCAAGTGCACCTGTCTCTCTCACAATATGTTAGTGTAAGAAAATCTGGAATGCTAAGGCGGAAAGGGCTTAGTGAATAAGTGTTTTAATATCTACCAAATTCATACTTTATTTAATATTTTAATTATACTCTGAAATACTTTATAAATTTTGCATTGGAAAAATAAGGAAATAACCTGGAAAAGTCAGGAAAATTCGTACTAGAAAAAAGAGTGGTTACCCCGTTATTCTTGGAAATGAGCAATGTACTTTATCTTGATCGACTATATTGTTTTTACTTGATATACTATTTCCTTGTTATACGATTTACTTGATATACTATTTCCTTGTTATACGATTTACTTGGTATACTATTTCTTGTATAAAAATAAACAACTTGCTCTGAAATATATTTCTGATGTCCTGAATTCCATTGTTATCGTTATGGCAGCGCAAAATGCCGATTTTTCGATAGAAAAATCTCATTTAATGGCCCTCGATATTGAAAAAAGATTTTTTCTTGCTTCTGTATGTAGTAAATATTTTCTGATATGTAGAGTAGCCAGAATCCATATTTTGTGGGTTCTTGATACCGAAGAATTTTACATGTTTGTTGCCCTGACTGTGACACACTGGCGTCTAAATCGTACACAGGATTAACTCCAAAATGAATATTCTCCAATAGGCCACGCTGATGTCGCGGACCTTCGAATATGAAACTATTTTAATTTCTTGGATGTACTTAATAAGAAGACATTTTTAAAGTGTTCTCAAAAATAGCTATATTCTTGCTCGAAGAGAGCAACTTACGCTTATAAAAATGGCGCAGGACTGATTTTCACTGAAACTCTAGAATTTTCGAAAATTGCAAAATGTTCTACTCTTATATTATTTTGTTTGATAATTAATAAAAATAATTTTCAGGAAAGACACCTTCGTTTTGATAAGACAGGTTTCATCTAGCAATTTCCGCGTATTTGAGCAGTGTATATCAGGCAGTGAAGCGAGAGTTCAAGGAGCATAAAAATAGTCTGGAGATTCCTCTGCGCGAAATGACGCGACCTCCAGCATCCGATAAACGCGGCCGCAGCGCGCTCTGGGTAATCGCCTTTCGTGAGACGAGGGGGAAGGGGACGATAACCTCGCTGTCACTGAGAGAGGGCCATGGGTACCAGGAGGCCGAGCACTCCAACTTTCCAAACAGGAGGTTATAAAATTAACACATTAGGGAATCGAATCTGCCTAAAAAGAACTTGTAAGGTCTCCTGTAAATAGGGTGACCGTAAGCTCAACGATGAAAAAGAGGACAATGGCTTAAAAAAGGAGGACATTTCATAATAGAGGGCAGTTTATAATATTTTAAATAACAATATATGTGACACCTAGTGAGTACAATTTTTTTCTTAACGAAATGAGTTCTTGAAAACAAATCTTCAATTAAGGTCATGTGGAATATTTCGAAACAATGAGTATTTTTTGTGTAATTAGGCGTCAAACACGCAACCGCTTCAAATTTCCTGCGCTTCGTAAACATTATTTGAGAGGTATTTGGAACCTATTGATATCCTTATAAAAGAAAGTAGATTAAAGGAATGTAATAAATACCTGCTATCTAAATAAACGCAGTCCATTCTGTCTAAATAAACGCAAGTATGCACCACAGGCGCTTTGTTTGACTTGGGTTTGAATTCTGTTAGCATTATTTTAATACTTAACATGAAAGAAAAAATGAAAAAAAGTACCATAAATTTGTACGAACATTTTAACTTTCATTTCGAATTGACCGCTGTCATGAGAGACAATGCTGCGTTGGAAATTTGGGAAGTTCATTGTTGAACGGCAACAAGATAAGATAATGAACTGTCTTGAATTCTTCTCTTTGTTGAACATTGTGTCATGAAATCATCATGAAGCTGTTCTTAAAAAGTAAAATTACGTTTAATATTATTTAATCCTTAAATCTATTTTAAATTGCATCCTATAATTGAATTAAGTGTGAAAACGAACAGGTCATTTCGCTTCGCACATTCAGATGTGGGAGTAACGCGCGTAAAAACCAAATATTTTTGATGAATATAACAATATTATAATTAATTATTGTACTTTTCTATCCCTTTTCATTTTCTTGCTAGCGGTATCTGCTAATTTGCAAAATGTGTATCCCATACGAAATTTCGGTCATTATTGCGTGTAATGCATTGTTGTATCACCGCACTGGTAACAGATGGCCGCCGTTCGTTTGCGTTGATATGAACTAATCATTTTATTGACGTCTAAAATACGCATGTAGAACATGAATAAACTGATTTTAATGACAAAAGATGTTATAGTTTAAACATTTTGATTTAATATATATATATATATATATATATATATATATATATATATATATATATATATATATATATATGTATTTAAATAATAAAAAACTAATAATGTATTTAAAACTGACCGTTTTATGCATTCGCGGCGTTTAAAGTTTTTTGAGTATTAAATCTATGTATTGTAATTGCTTTGACACCTTTGCTTCCGTATCAAGTTGTTCGTAAAAGAAGCAAGTCTGTATAAAAGTTCCTGTAACTTGATACATCAATGACGTGAAAGATCAAATAATAATAAATTTGTGTAATTTTAAAAAAATCAGAAGAACACATCAAAATGGTGCTTTTGTCATGTTATATAGTTTCTTTATCACAATACGAAATGTTTGAAGAAAAAAGTAGGACTTTCTTTTGAGAAAATCTTCTTTTTATTATTGCACTTACACCCGCATCACTAAAATGGAGAAAAAACGAATATTTTGAAAAAAATGTACGTCATTAATTAAAAAACGAATTGTGTAAAATTATATTAAAAACAATGGTACTACAGGGCGGCACAGACTTGCTCATGATATAAAATTAATTTCCAAATCTGTGCTGGCACCTAGAAGATTTTCTTGATAATTCATTGGATGTAATAGATACAACACCCACGTTCCTGTTAGCGTTAGCCTGAAGTAAAACCAGACCCGATCTAGTCATTACCTACCCACACATTACAGAGAAAACTAATGTCACCTTGCTGGATGACGCAGGTGGTTGTGACTATAGAGCCTTGTTTGTTGGTTGTAAGCTCCAAAACAGGAAAATAATTTAGAATCGTGCCCACCAATGAAATTAAAAAAAAGGAAGTATATGAAAATAACGCCTAAATTAAAGCCTGGCAGAAAGGACGATTACAACTCCAAAAAAAACAGCGAAAAATGTAACTGAGGAAATTCTTAGATGTGCCAAGGAATGTATTCCACGAAGCCAAGTAAGAGGGTTTACATCGTTTTGGAATTCAAACGTTCCTAAGTTGAAAGATGATAGAAATAAAGCCAGACGCCATGCAGAAACATCAAAATCCCTTCGAGACTGTATTGAGCTCCGCAAAGAGCAGGCTATTCTGGCCGAAACCATTAAATTTGGCAAAAGAGAGGCTTTCAGAATCTCCTGCAACAACTACACACCTAAAGCCTTTGTAATGTTTTAAAATCATTTTGTAAATACTTTTGAGAAAATTTAGTAAAACATTATACAAATACTTGCAGTTAAGACAAACAGTTAGAAATTAACTAGATTTTTTTGTCGGTTAGGAACTGATCGGGTAGAAACTGATCGCATAGGAACTGATCAGATAGGAACGAATCGGATAGGAATCGAATTGGATAGGATTGAAGTTCGCTTAATAATTTACCAATTTTCATTAAAACCGAAATTCTGAAATTTCGATAACCATAAAATTAAAAAAAGAATTAAACCTGGTTTTTCTGGCAATATTTAAGCAAAATATTCCTGATTCAAAGCAATGTATTTCTCAATATTAGGTCTTTAATTGATTTTATCTACACTTTTTTGATAATACTAGTATTTTTCGCCTAATTTTGAGATCTGATGACAAAGGTTTTTTTTTTCAAGATGTCTTTTAGCTGTAGTGTCGAAGCTATAGATTTCTTTTTAATGCAGTCTTTACTCAATATTAGATATTTAAAGTGCCCAAGTTCAAAAAATATGAGTAGTTTTTGCACAAGTACTAACTTATAAAGTTAGAGTTTTTCAAGAAATGGTTGAAGTGTTAGTAGGGCAGAAAGGACAATATTATAATAGAAAAAGTATGCGGCATGAGCATAACTTATTTTCATTCGATTAAAGTATATAAAGTTACTTTAAATATCAAGAAAATAATCCATCATAACTTGAAAGTAGTGGTGCCACAGAATAACTCTAACATTCTTGTGTAAGTTTCATTTTTATATATGAGGTAGCTCTTCGGAATTGCTCCACTCTCTTCCCAGCTGACCGGCATTGGTGGCCCACGGCACCAACTGAAGTCACTGCAGTGCCACGATCGGGTCCTAGGTTCTAGGTTCGAGTCCCTATGGTGGCAGGATTTTCGACACTAGCTTGTCAGCCAAGTCAAATTCTGGAGGAGAATTCTAGCGGCCGGCTACACCAATCTGTTTTCGTGGTTTCTCCGATCATCCGATCATCCAGGCGAATGCTGGAACAGTACTCTAACAAATAGGCCACGAAACACGCGCGATCTTTCCTTTCTCTTCCTTGTCCTATCTTCACCTCTACTTAATTACACACATTTACCCTAACATGCACTACACTAACTAAACTATATAGTTTATTATTATTATTATTATTATTATTATTATTTCGCTACATAACAGTAAAAATACAAGTATTGCGAGTAAGTGGGACTCGTGAGGCAGATAAATCCGTGTATATGGAGACTAATGTGATTCCAAAACCTCCGTAAGGCACGTATATTTTAGTTTGTGTTCGTGGCATACTGCAGCTTCCGAGAACCGTGTGTAATACATTGTGCCTTTTTACTTTCTTGTCCTTACGAAGGTACTTCGTAAGAACAGAAAGTTACGTTATCGGGTGCCGAAAAACGGCGAATTTTCGGCAGGAAAACTCTTATTACCGGGCCCTGGTAATGAGATACGGCATTTGCCTGTTGCTAAATTTAGAAAAAAATCCTCTAACACGTGTGTAGCCAGAATCCATTTTTGTGCGTCCTTAATACCTAAAAATCGATTAACGGCAAAGCATCTGTCTGACCGTCTATGATCAACGCTAGTGCCTAAACTGTTCAGCCGATATTCTTCAAAATTGATATTCCATAATCGATCTGAATGAAATCAAGGATTTGGGAGTTTCAAACGGATATTTTAATTTTTAGAGTGCTCTACATAAAGCCTCAAACATTTTCAAAATTTTCTCAACTATGAAACCTGTTCCAATTTTTAATAGGCGTACTTTTTTCTATCTGAGAAAAAAATAAAGAAAAAAATTGGATCATTTTTTAGAAAATTTTGTAAATGTTATTAAGATTTCATTAAAAAATCCATTTCAAAATTAAGAGGCTGCGGCATCAATCAGAGCGTCCCCGGAAAATCAGTTTTGGTGAAAATTCTGTTGATTTTTCTGCAAAAAGATTGTTGCTGCACATTACAGTACGTGAGTAGTATACGAGAATGTAAAACGTTTTCAACTATCAGCAAGTGGATCATTAGTTCCTATAAACACCCTGTAGAGAGATTTTTTGGCCAGAATATTTACATAGATAGCTATTTCCAGCTGCAGATAATATAACAAATGTTGCCACATGTTCTTAAAATCGTTATTTTTTTCCTATGCCGGAAACAGTTTATAACGCAACTCGAATAATCTTAATCTTTACATTAAGATGTTTTCTGCTCTTTCTCAGAAGTATATGAAGTCGTTGAAGTCGACAGACGATGCAACTATCGAAGCGCATGTGGTGGCATTACAAAGTCCCATCATACGCAGCTAACAGTACATTATTACATATTTTATCATAGACCATTGAACATCGAATGTTTTGTGATAAACCTAAAATGAAAATCATGAGAATATGAATGTATTTAGTGGCGGCTCATGGTCATGCCATTGGGGTGTGCAACGTCTCTCTTCGCTCTCCCTTCCTCTCCCCCTTTGTCTCATATGTGTGTGTATAGATATAATATATCCGTATAGAAAGGCATACATTCACATAATGCCTCAAAAACCTTTTCAATATTTTCTCAAAAACGGCACCAAATTTTTGATTAAATTTTCTTGTTGAATAGGGAGAAGGACGTTTAAGAGAATGGTGCAGATTTCATTTTCGTTGACATCCCCAATTTTTCGAAAATTGCAAAAAAAGATTCAAAACTACAAAATTGAAGATAGCTTTATTTACCTCAAATGAGATATGTTGTACAAAATTATTTTTTTAAAAAAGTGCATGTACTAATTTTTGAGAAAATGAGTATTTTTGCGTATTTTGCTCTTGAAATCAACGCAATTTTTTCTCAAAAGCCGCTCCAAATTTTGTTTTTAAATTTTTTCGCTTTTGTAATAAAGGACGGTAAACAAGTAGATTTACTTGCATGAAAAGATTCTCAAGCCTAAATGACGCATCTGAGCTAAATTCAAATCGCCTGTTCCTCTCCCAAGAAATACCTCCTTTCTTCGCTAGTTGGTGAAAGGAGCGTAGTGAAATTTGCCTGGTCAGACAGAAGAGCGGGCCTGATGGCCCGAGTCTCGCCAAGTAAAATAAGCCATAAATTAAATTCAACAAATATGGCGCTAGTAGAATTTTCGGGTATTGCTCGTTTTTTTCACAAATTGCACAAAAAAATCTTCAAAATTGTAGATAGAGATTTTTGCCGCAATTTGTTTTGCACATTTTCTCAGCTCAGAATTGAAACAGTTGTCTAGAGTTGTATGGAAGTGTAGAATAATTGTCCTCCCGGATGGCTGAGGTTGTTAAATGTGTTTGGGTTCATCTCTTGAAACCAAGAGGTCGCCGGTACGAGTCCCACACGGGGATTTTAGTTTGATGAAATTGTGTCGTGGAAAACTGTCGAGGATTCGAGAAACTTTATTGAAAAGCATTTGAAGCATTTCTACTCACAAATGCAGTGAATACATGTACAAATAAAACGGTCGTGTCTGTACGTGATTTTGTAATTTGTAACTTTTAAACATTGTTTTCAACTTTTTTTTGCGATTTGTAAAAGGTCAAATAAATTGTTGAGTTTCTGTGTATGTGTATGAAACGATTTAAGTAACCTAATGAAACGACCTGAAATTTAAATACATTATGAACACTAACCATGTGACCAACTTATACCTAACGGTTATGAAATTATTATTTTCTTGCCTTACGAATTTTTGTAAGAAGAGAAAGTTATGTAATCATGCGCCCGAAAACACGGAAATTTCGCCAGATGAAACCTTATTTCCGGGGTCTGATAACAAAAAAGTGGATAAATACTATTTGCTAAATTTAGACAAAAATACTCTAACACGTGGTAGAGCCAGAATCCATGTTTTGTTGGTTCTTGGTACAGAAACATCGATTGACGACAAAACAGTGTGTCCGTTTGTCTGTCTGGGCCTGAACCGTTCAGCTGATTTTCTTCAAAACTGATACTCCCTGACTGATATTAACGGACTGAAGGCTTTGGAAGTTTCTAACGGATATTTTCATTTTTGAAGGTTTTTTTTTACATGAACCGGGCATTTACTTTTTTATGCCTTTGACCGCATTTAACCGATGCGGCACTTCTGTGGCCTAGTGGTGTGAATGCCGGCACATTAACTCTGAGGATCTGAGTTCGGGTGTCGGAGCGGAAAAATAATTTTCTGATTGAAAACACTTTTGCTGATTTATGTAGTAGTATAATGTTGTGGAACATTTAGAAACAATGCGAGAAAGTATGTGCTTTGACAGCATCACTAGGTTTCTTTAAATTTATTCCTCGTATGTTGGAAAAACAAGTAAAGAAAGTTGTGTAGGTCCCATTTTCGGCAAACGTCCTGTATTGTCGAATATTTGCAAAATAATCGAAATTTTAATTTTAATTTTCCGCGCTTCGTTTAACTCGTTGTCAGTCAACAAAATGGCGAACACAGCGGTTTCATATTATTGGAATTCTCATTTTAATGTGTCGTGATAAACGTACGATGTGGTTATTATTCTTGTGAAAGTAATTAGATTTAAGTAAGGTAATGAATTTAACTTAGTACTTACATAGATACTTCTCAATCTTCAAGAAGTTTTGG